AAAAAACAACAGGAAAACCTCTTTTGATTGGACTGAATAGACTGTAAGTCCTTAAAGTTTCATAAAACCAAACGTTATCAATAAACAAATATCTAAAATTGTTATCCAGTACGCAGTGACTTGTACTCACACCTTTTTTCGTTTTAGATGATTTGGTGAAGCGTCCGTCGACCAAGTGTTCCCAAGCAAAACGCTCTCCTATAGAAATAAAGAATTTGTAGGTATTTATATGTATTTATAGGTATTTATAGATCAGAATGTTCCCAAGAATAGTTCAACGTTATAAATCTACCATGAAATGAGCTGTGACGGATATATTAGTCAACGAGCAAGGAGTTCCTGTTTATGCAAGAAATATCCAACATTATACAACTGAGTTGCTACTGGATACGCCTTGGTTTATAAATAGTTTTTTCTCTATTTTCATTGTTTTTGGTAACATTCTGGGCTTAGAAACCTTTTAATCCTGTTCCCATCACATGTGGAGCCAAAAGAAAAGCTTTCCCGTCTCTTGAGAATTGAGAACCAGCGAGAACCGAAGTTTAAAATCATAGATAGGTGAAGAACATGAACATTCGCGTGCACACAAAAAAACAGCCTTTCTAGAAAATAACAATTCCCATGGAAACCCTTGAAATTTTTACTGAGACGTAAAGTGCAGAGGCCAATAAATCCCAAGTCTAAGAAAAACGAAAGGGAACTCGTATTTCGGCCCACGTATCGTTCCCTTGAGTAATATTCTGTTGAATCGTTCATGTTCTAAAGTTTTTACGGAGAAATAGTATATTATTATCATCAAGGCGGCCTCAGCCGAGTTGACTTTATTATGTGAAAATGTATGAGGTTAAGCTTTAGTATTTTTTGCATTTTTTTCATTCGTTCGCTGTTTCTGATTTTACAAAGATATAGTTATTAACCAGTAACTCTTTTCTCTATTTTCCCTGGAATATAGAGGTTATTTACCGGCTAGGAGATCTGGATAGAGAAAAACTGTGCCCGAGGTCTTGAATATACGTTTTCAACGTCAAGTGCACGGTTTTCTCCTATTCGTATGTACTTTAGGAAGGTAAATAGCTTATTTTTCCCCATATACTTTTCGGCTTGTTTTGCAAAATCTTTGTTGTTTGCAAACCGTTATCCCAGGATACCAGACCGCGGTTGGAGATAAAAATACCGTCTGTTCGCACAGCCAATCAAAACTCATAATTTAGGATACCAGACTGGAAAAATCCATTACAATAAACTTATCTAGAAGTCACCAGGAAATGGAACTTTTTTGATAAAGAGACGTGTTGCTTGAAAAAAGATTAACTACAACTTCGAGTTTGTATGAAATTTGGCCAAATAAGTGTTGTTTTTGTTTCTTCTAGAATAAAAACACTGAATACGCATGCCAAGTCTACTTGTTTTGATCGTTTTACCAATAGGTCTTATCCTTGTTGGGGCAATGCTTTCTTATTTCATTCAGATTCTTTGTTAATGTTGTATCCGTATACCTTCTTTCAGTCTTCTCAAGCTACGGACACACGGAAATTGATGTTGCACGCGAGCCATGGCACACGACGCAATTTGTTGCACGCAACGTTGCTGAAGTAGAAAAATATCCTTCTTTCGCAACATTGCCCGCAATGTTGCGCGTAATGTTGCACCGTGTTTCCGTACCTTCATATGCAACCATTAGAACATGTGTCTTCTTATTCGCAAGCGTTAAACGAAACAATGGGACTAGTCTTGGGAATGGCGAGCCAGCCCGTACCGCTCGGATCGAGTTACATGATTGGATTGAAAAACAATAGATTGGTTATCCAAACAATAGCACTAAACCTAACCTTACAAAAGCGGTACTGTACTTAGGGAGCAATGAAAAACCAGCTTTTGAGCGGTACTGGATTACTCGGAATGGCACGTAGTCTGTAGAGGGAAAACATTGAGTTATATCCATATTCTTGTGTCTTCTCATTTCTTAAACAAAGAAATGATACTCAAGGGAATGGCACATGGTATGAAATGGGTAAATATTCCACCAAAGCGAAAAAAGGCTAAATGACTCATTGAAGATTTATATCTTCTAGGAGGGCGAAATTAAATCTCAACTCAAGCACGCAGGGCTACCGCCAATCATATTCAAGACAGAGAGCGAGTCCTCAGTGTCAAGGTATGTTTCATCCACCTGTTGTAATAATTATAATAATGGGAGTTTCTAATATAGCGCATTTCAAATATCTCAATGCGCTTTACAATTATGGCAAGGGCATATTAAGGCGATATTAGCAACCGTGCAGCTTACAATCATGAGTGTGAATTGTTAGTAGATTAGTATTTTACCCCCAGATTGGGCGATAGGCTGTTGAACCGGGAGACATCCCCAAAATGACCAGAATTGTTCTATTACCACACTCGCCCTCTCGTGTGAGTAGAATTTGTTAGGTCTCTCCCTTGACTTCGCAAAACCTAAGACGCACTATAAATTCCAATTTGATCTGTGAGTTTGCCATGCCCTGACTTTGATTAGCCTGCGTGCGGCTGTTTCAGGATATTAGGGCATCCCATTTCTCCACTTTCTGGTCTCCTTTACCTTTCCCGTCCATCCCTCCCTCCCGGGCAATTCTTCTCCCCCAGTTTTTCGTGCTTATATGCATACTTTCTCGGCTTGATGACGTCACACGTTAAAACAGTTATTCTCTCTTGATACAACACTGTTTCGTAGACCTTCTTAGCAATTGCAAATATGGTACGCTTTCTAACCCACTATCGCCCATGCCTTATTAGATGTTGTTGGTTTGTGTCAAAATTAGAGCGTAACCTCAGGGTAACTGCTAATGACGAGGCAATAGCCCAAGGGAGCACGTTAAAATTTTGATTGTGTTGGTTTATCTTCGATTTTATCGCATGTATTCTAAGATATAGCAAGCGTTCCTTGTAGTGCTTGTTTACGTGCGCGCGCTAGCTGTCCGCGCGCTACACTTCATGGCAGGCTTTCCTTGCTTTAGTCGGGCTAGCGAATTTACTCCGAAAACCGACGAATATCTTGCGATTCCCTTCCTTACACGATCGTAAGCCATTCGGATCGGCCGAAACCAAAACACTACGAGGAACGCCTGTCACAAGATGGATTGCGCGCGCTAGATAGATCTACCAAGAACATATGACAATAACTTTCCTTATACAAACAAAATTTTAATTTGCTCCCTTGAATAGCCAACATACTGTCCCAATTAACCTGTAAGTCTAATCTCACAATAAATTAGACACTAGTGGTGCTTAAGCCTTAAGGTGAAATACCAGGAAATATTCCTGCCGAGTGGCTATTCCGCGTTGCTTTCTTCAATGGCTCTATGAACACAGTTCAACCTACAAACGACTCCAYGCCATCACCGCGACTCATCGCGTTGGTGGTCTCGGTGGATGCTTTAAAAGTTTCATTAGCCTCCATGATCAAACAAGCTCATCGTCAATCCTTACATCACAAACCAATTCGCCGTCGTCATCTTCACATCTGGCTCCATTGACCATTCCAACATTTTCAGTTTCCCGCATGGTCTGCTTCCTTTGGTTTATCTTCGCCATCACCGCAGCCATCGCTTCTTTCCATCCCCAGCATCTCACAAGATCCCCTAGCCGTCCTCCCTTCTGTTGCTTCAAATTGCCTTCTCAATTACTCCAAGTTTTTCTCAGAGTTGCAATCCCACCCAGGTCAGTCTCAGGCCCAATGCGTTCGGCATGAAATTTGCCATGGCTTCAGACTGGGTTTTAGTTCCCCATTGGTCTAAAGCCATCAAAGAAAAACAAGCCTTCAGTCAGCATACCAGCATCCTGATGTCATTTATGCCTATCTTAACAATGATGTCCCAATTGGTAGTGGCACCTGATCACTGATCTCTCTTCACCTCATGGTCACCGTGTCAACGAGGGCATCAACCCAGAAACATGCTCCCTTCAGCATATAAAAATTGACGATGTTTCAAACTTGCTTTCCACTTTTGGAAAGGGAGCGTTTATAGCTAAATTTGATATCGAAAGCTCTTTCAGAAACACCCCCATACTAAAAGAGATCTCCAGTCTCTAATTGGCACATGTATCATGCTTGTAACGTCATCTGGCCTGGTCTAACATTCCTTTGCTGTATGATCGACTTACTCAGCTGCTTTCACAATGACCCAATTTGCCTAAATGTCAAGATCCAAAAAGACCTTTCTTGGTTGAGGGACTTCATTGGTACCTTGAATGGAATCAGTTTTTTCTCCTACCCTGGCCTAGAGCTTTTGCTCAACTTCCATGTCGGCTTACATACTTCAGTAACATCAGTGGGGTTATGTTGCTTATATGGATTGATGGATTCCGAAAGGTTTGATGGATGCTGACTCCAGCACTTAGGCTCATGTTCAGAGCCCGTGCTGGTCCCGTAAACGGATTCTTCTTAAGGTTGACATTTTAAAGCAGTTTTTCACATTTTAACTTCGCATCTCTTCAAAGATCCCAATATCATGCATTTGCTGAGAAGTTTGTTTTTGGTTGCAGCCTGCCATCATCTCTCTTTTTTAGCTATCTATGTTCCAGGTAACCACAATGGTATTGCTGATGCTCTATTGCGCTTCAATTGGCAGGTCTTCTGCTCTCTTGCTCCATCTGTGGACAGTCACCCAGTATAAATATCTCCTAACCTTATTACTTTCTCACATGGTTTAGAAGAGTGATGCTTCAATTTCTTATACCAAGGGATTGCTTCTTCAAATCGTCATACCTACTCTAGTGCTCATGCAGATGAAGTTTTTGAATATATGTGCTAATTATAATGGCTCCCTCTCTGTCTACATATCACCTTCGTTGCATAATGTATCCAGCACTCTTCCATTAAAGCTTACTTTTCAGCAGAGGGAAATTACTAGGGGAGTCCATCTCTCAACATATACTTGGTCCATCAACGGCTCCTTATTACTTCTGATATTCAGCAGCTGTTCTATGTAATTTGTCACTTTCATACTATGATGATGCTATATGTTGCATTGTTATGCATGTACTCTTTCTTTAGGTTTCAAAAATCCAATTTACTTTTCTCCGGAACTGGTGTGGCATTTGACCCATCTATACCCTTATTAGTGAACGATATTGCTGTTGACTGTCACGCACATCCAACTTGCCTAAAAATGCATATAAAAATGTCAAAGACGAATCCATTCCGCCAAGGCTGCTCTATTGTTATCGTTAAAGGGTCATCCCCATTGTGCTCTACAGAAGCATKGACCTTGTATGTCCCTCTCAGGGGCAACAGAGCTGGGCCTCTGTTCTTTCTAGAAGATGATCAACCTCTTACTAGAGTTGCCTTGAACCCAAGACTAAGGCTCATCCTCCAGGGAGGTGAAGTTTCCGGAAATTAGCTAGTTCCAGTCAACGAGGACACATCCCTCAGTGGCCAGCCAGGCTGAGGTAAAAAAAAGTGCTTCTGCCTGTCATAGCCTGTCACTATATACCAAGTTCCAGAAGTGTCTGGAGAGGCTGTGAACCCACAGACATCCAAATAGTCACCTAGAACCTCTGCAATACTGCAAACACCAAGGTCATGTTTCGGGAAGTCCAGTAAGAAATACTACATAGACCCATGGCTAAAGATTAGACAGTTGCTTGGAACATCAGTTGACCAAACGGAGAATAGTCTCCCTCGCAACCGTTTTTAGTGTCGGTCGTCACGCAACGCTCCCAGGGAGGGAGCGTTGCGTGACGACCGACACTAAAAACGGATGCGAGGGAGACTAAACGGAGAAAGATATAGTCCAAAGATGATTTCAACAGGCTGATCCTTGGTTCACTCTGATTCATATTTGACCAATTCAACATCTTGTTTCCCGATGTAGTAATTACCAGCAATAGACGACTCGCACTAACAGGTCATGTGACCATACCTCCCTAAAAACGAGCAGTTTTGTCAAAATGAAAAACAGATGTAGTAATTACCAGCAATAGACGACTCGCACTAACAGGTCATGTGACCATACTTCCCTAAAAACGAGCAGTTTTGTCAAAATGAAAAACAGAGATGAAAAGAGCTAACATCACACCCCACAGGACACAGAATAGGGGGCAGAGAGAACATTTACCTGTACACCATGATACCTGTCTTCCTAATATTCCCTGCTGCCTGACGTCCCTTGCTGCCTGCTTGCCTGCCTCATGTCAGGCAGACAGGCAGTGGTGGGCGTCAGATAGACTGTAATCTGTCTGCCGGACACCCCCAACTACCTTCAACCTATCTGCCTGATGTCACCCGCTACCTGTCTGCCTTATGACTTTTAAAAAAACTGGACTGGTTGCCCGACTCCGCCCTGCCCCAGAATGATTTTACTTGGCCCGTRAAACAAGATTGGATAATAAAAGACTAACAGTCCAAGTAAAACAAAAGAAAACAATGGAATTAGTGTATACTATGTATGCTAACTATTCTTTTCACGGGCCCAGTAAAATCCCTCTAACTTTTACAGAATTTGGGAACCAAAGGATTTGTTCAAAAAGAAATAACAATGCCCAAAAAGCATTCCTTTTATCTCGGGTTTTAAAATTCTGGAGCGCATAATAGGCGTTTCTCAAGATGGATGGGTGGGTAGGTGCGTGGGTGGATGGATGGTGATTAGGTGGTGGGGGAAAAAATCTTAAAACGGGCTAAATTCAAAAAATAACCACGCAGAGCGAAAGAAGTGCTATTTTTCAATGATCGGGTAAAATTTTGAGGCTTTATTTCACGTTTCAATGATTTTATCGAAATTTTTGATGAATCCCCATAAAATTCCTTATTATATATATAACATGACACCACAGAAACCAAGCTTGGGCTACCTGTGATCTTACAACTAAGACATACCATGGGCTTCCTGTGGTACTGAGCACGTGTACCCATCATGCTCCAGGGTCTCTTTGACAAGAAGAAACAAGATGGCGGGTGGAGTGAAGCTTCGAAGTGTGGACACAAACTTCGACCATTACACGGTAAGAAATGCTACAAAACTATACTAAACTAAACAAGCCTTAAGATAAGATTGAGGTTTTCCCCTGTATAGATTCCTATGAGGCTTTATGAAAATGTTCGCCGTTAAATAAGTATTTGCATCATGCTTCAGGGTCTCTGAAAAGAAGAAACAAGATGGCGTGTAGGGTGAAGCTTCAAGGTGTCGACACAAACTTCGACCATTACACGGTAAGAAATGCTTCAAAACTAGACTAAACTAGACAAAACTTAAGATAAGATTGAGTTCTTCCCCTGTATAAATTCATTTGAGGCTTTCTAGAATTTTTCGCCGCTTAAATAAGCATTTAAATCTGACATCTTGTTTGGTTGTTGCACGTGGCAGACTTTCAAGGTTAAAAGTTTTGCAAACTTTCTTGTTCTACCCTCAAAAACCACTCTATGACTGCTCAATAAATGCAGAAAGAATTCAAAGTTAATTTAGGCATGATTTTCTTTTCTAATTTTTTTTTTTCCGCAAAAAATTTGAATATTTCTAACCGTATATCCATCAACAAATTAAGAAAAAAGAAAGGCAGTCTAAGCATTACATCCAATTTGACGGATTTGCTTTTATTTTAATTAAAACTACGGTCAAACAAGATATCTTTTTTTGCAAAAGGGAGTGGTTGACAAATTCTCCTTGGTAGGGCCCCCTAGGGTTGTTCTTTTTTTATCAGGGGGGTAGGCAGTGGAATTCCCTTGTGACCTGCACCAAGACTCCATGATCCGTTATTACTTTAAAAAATGGTCCAATTCTTTTTATTGTATAAGTGTAGTGCCACTTGAATTGTTTTGTGTGTTCCTCTCTTGGGCTTTAATCACACGGCAGCCATTTTTATGGTCCTGAAAACAAAAGTCTTTGTTCAGAAGTTATCTAAAATGGCCTCAAAAAATTTCCACTGCTCCACCTGCTCCCAGATAAAAAATGAAGGGTCCCTTAGGCTTTGCTCACCTTGGAGGACCATCATACTGACACTTTATTGTTTTTTTAGTTGGATCATCAAGGATAAGAAGGCTAGCTGAATCTATAAGTGTTAGTTTTAGATGTTATTTAGTTAAATTGCACAAGCGAAAACAATTTCCTTTGAATTGATTGAGCACCAGTGTAATTTTACTAAATACTTATTCACCAATTATTGAGTGGATTCTGGTTGATATTTGCCTCAAATATTGGCTGATCTTCACTTTGTCTTTGGAGAATAATCTTTAATTATTAAATATATCTACATATAATGCTTTGTTGTATGTAGATTTGTTTTCACCACTTTAAGAATAAGAACTCAAACTATCAAAGGTTGTGCAAGCTTTTCGTTACAAATGAAAAGTGACCACATCTTTTGAATTTTCTTACAATTTACTAAATGCTGGTAACTTATGCACATATAATGTCTCCTTTGGACCTGATGACTGGCTGGCTTGGATTGACTCTACATATTATGATATATATTTGATTGATGTATGATTTTGATTGTCTTTTATTGCATTTGACTAATATTTTTTGATCTTTATTTGTCTCACTTTGAATGATTCATTTTACATTTGATTATTGATGTACCAGAAAAAGTTTCTTTCAAAATTTTGTATATTCTATTCAAACTACTTCTAAATTTTTTTTCCCAGAGACAAGCAATAATTTAAGATACATTTTTAAGTATTTTGAATTTGAGTTAGAATATTTTCATTGCTCTAAGTCCTTTGCTTTAATTTTTTTCCATCCTTCTTTTTGCTTTTGAATCAGATTTGGCAAATTCCAAGAATCCGAAATTTGGAAATAAGCTTTTTCCTCAACAATTTCTTTGTTTGACATGTTTACAGTTTGTACAGTATTCTCACGCTGTACTAAAAAATTCTGTGATTCTAAATGTCTTTTTTTTTAATTAAAGGAAAAAACAATCTCTTTTTATCTTTTCATTTGGTTCATTGATTTTAGTCATTCTGCAACCATAGTAAGTGAGAGGATACTGTATACATCATGATGATTGTTATTCTCATTGWTGCATTTGATGATACAGTAGAACCCCACTATCTTKTCCTTGTTATCGTTACTCAATGATCAAGAGAATCAAAAAAAGGTTTTCGTACCTTTACATACTCTTATAAATTGTATTTCCTGATTTTCATGTTGCGACTGTTCTCTCAATCAGCTTGTAGCAACTAAGACAGTGATAACCAAATTCATGATCAATCAGCTGCACTTGACATTTTTAAATGTTATTATTGGCTTTCAATTTATCCTTTGARCATATTAGATGAGATAGTGTGGTTCTACTTTCTTTGATTACCATATATAATGATGCTTTAATAAAGATTTGCTTGCTACATTCTGCACTCCTGGCTCACTCCCTTTAACACGGTAAGTCAAGTGCATAATTTACCAGCATTAAGTCTTGTATTTTTCCACCAATGTCCTCTTTTATCATCCAATTACTTTTCTGAATCTCTTACATTGCTATTTAAAAATATGGTAGACCATGTATTTTGCTATTGCATTTATTTCAAATWACTCAGAGGATGTTGGTTGGAAGGTGCAATTTTCTAAATTACTTTTCTCCGACAAGTTCTTAGT